AAATATTGGGCATATAATTATTTTATGAAAAGAAATCTGGCAACACTAGAGAACAAATCATTTTCTATATTGGTCATGATCATTAAAAAAAGACAAATGCTTTATATATGTATCTGATTATGATACATATAATATATATTATCCGTGTTTCCTTATTGTGGTACCTTTTCCTTCAAAGAACTTGTCATTTAATCCTACGAGGAGATAAAATGAGTATTTTTATTGTGAAGGTGTCATTCATATTGTGAGGTTGTTATATATGTATGTATGTATATAGGGGTGTGTGTGTGTGTGTGTGTGTGTGAGAGAGAGAGAGAGAACTCTATAGGAAAGTATAGGTGGCTATCTGAAGTGATAAGTAGCATAGGAATGGGATTATTGAGTCTCAAAGTGAGGAGATACGTATGAATGTTGATGATTTATTGCTCAGAGTTTGACCCATTACTTTGATCACTTGGCTTTCACTTACATTTTGAAAGAATCCTTTCCCTGAACCCCTAGATATGTGCTCTGAGTTTGGACTGGTGATGGTTGAAGCCCAGGCCTCCCTGCTCTGTGCCTGCTATGCCATCTAGTGGAGCAGTGTGCATGCAGTGCTAACAGCTAAATTTAAGAACTGGATGCAATTTCCAAGTTCATCTCTTGAATGAAATGTTTGCTGGGTATGTATATACAAAAATGTCCATAATATACATAGGAAGTAATACTGCTAATAAGTGGCAGTATTACTTACACTTTACTTAATAAAGTGTTCATTTTTTCATGTACTTTTTTATATTTCGGATTTCTTCTTGAGTATTTACAGATTCGTTGATATCGTAAATGGATGAAGATTTAGTCCAGTTTTTGTAATATGACACTTTCTGAGGGGTGGGGACAGGGGGATTCTAAAGTGCTTTATTATTTAACAGTGTTAAATTTCTGAAATTATTTTGTTTATATTGAACACATTTTGGCACACATTTTGATGGGGTCTTAAAGTTCAGAAAATCCTGTATACATATACATAGTAGAGAAGGCACCTAGGGCCTCCCAGCCCATCAGAGATAAGGACATACTTTTTATGAAGTTTCAATTCCAAAGCCTTTGCCATGAGTTCTGGAAATTTAAGACCCCCTCAGCCTCAGCTGTTAATGCCTCCTAATGTCACCCTTGTCAGTCACATCCAAAACTCACCCCCTTCAATGTTCCCATAAAACATTTGTCACGTTAAGATTTTGTGTGTTTAGGTTGGAAATGAGATTATGGAGGGAAAGAGGTGTGTGTCCAGGAGTAGCCAGGTGTTAGCCAGACTAACTAGGAGTTAGTCCTACTAAGAGTTAGACTAACTCCTAGTCCCTATTCTGCCCTTTCCCTTCATCTCTTCTCCCTCCAGCCCAGGAAATAAGTAGGTTAGTATCTTCTAAAAATACTGAGTATGTTTCCTGAAGAAAACCATGATGAATACATTTTTTTTCCTGTTCCCTTACATAGCAATGAAGGCCAAATACTTAAATGTATTCATGTAATGGCTAATGATTATGGGAGGAAAAATAAACACTTGGATTTTGTCTTATATCATGCAAAACAAAGAACAAAAAAAATGAAGAAGTCTTTTATGGGGAATTTGTTGAAACTCAGAGACTTTTTAAGTCTTTGTAAAGCAAAATTTAAATAGCATTATCATAAGCCTTACTAAATTTGAATGTAAACTTTTTGTAAATAACATTGACCCTAAAAGTTTCTTCTTTAGACAACTAGATCATAGGTGATAAATTATTTGAAGACAAACCATAGGAATAAAGGACTATTTGTGTTCAAATCATTCTATCATGAAGCATTTATATATGTGTTTTAAGTACATCTGGCTTTGGACTGTACATAACATTAAATTTTTAAATCGATTTGTTCTGGTTTCTTACTTAAATCCACAGATAACACTATTAAATTTTCAGTACATGTGATATGCTTGGTAGAGGCAGCAGTTAATAGCTCTAATCTAAGGTTGATAGAGCCTCTATTTCTTTTATATATTTATAAATGAGTAGAGTTTCCTACCAAATAAGTGTAGTCTGTTTTACTTTCTCAGTAGCTAGGATATTATTCCTCCTTTCCATCTTCACTTTCAGTCCAGTAGTGACAGTATTCACTAATCCACTGGAGCTTAGAAGGTGGTCCCGCCCTTCTCCTACTTAGAATGTGTGTAGTAGAGCCAGGTAAAGCAAATACCATTAAGTGATCAGAGGAAAAGGGAAAAAAAAAAAAAGAAAACTTAGGCCTAACTTTCCATTTTACTTTGTGATAATACTCCTTATTGAGTAGTACTCCTCAGCTACATGTTTAGTTTTGCTGGAAAATGATATGAGATGTAAACTCTGAGTGACAGGGCCAATGCAATGACTCGTGATCCAGAGCAGGACAACTATAGGCTGCATGAGAGATAACTGAGAGCTCACTGCAAACATGAGCACAGATGGGTCAGGCCCCTGTTTTCCTGACTATATGTGGCCTACGTGGTATCAGTGGACAGCAGATGTGTTGTCTTTATAGAGGAATTGTGTATTCTTCAAAGTGCTGTAGCACTGTTGGTTTTTATATGGGGAACTGAAACTTGATGTCTTAGGCAAAATTTATTCAGAAGGATGACTTGTCTTTAAAAATAAGCTGGTGCCTCTGGAATGAAATATAGCAAGCGGTATCCCATAAAATAAAATGCTTTCTTTTTCAATATAAATCAAGCATATGTCAAAGCTGCATTAATTTTTTTTGCCAATATGATTGATTTGTCATGTTCAATCCAAGTCTTTTTTTTATAACCTCATATAAAATTTGTCTCTGACTATGTATCAAATATCAGTTTCAATTTTCTGAGATCTTAGGTCATTAGCTACTGATTTTTGTTGTTGTTTGGAAGGTTGTTTTATTTGTTTGTTAGTTTTGTTTTGGTACTGGGGATTGAACTCAAGGGCCCTTTACTAACTACTAAGTCACATCCCCAATCTATTTTTTTAAAAATATTTTTAGTTGTAGATGGACACAATACCTTTAATTTGTTTATTTAGTGTTTTTTTTTTTCTTTTTTAATTTGGTGCAGGGGATAGAACCTGGTGTCTCATGCATGCTAGGCAAGCACTCTACCACTGAACCACAACCCCAGTCATTTTTACTTTATATTTTGAGACAGGGTTTCAATAAATTGCTGAGGCTCACTTGAAACTTGTGATCCTCCCAAGTCATTGTGATTAGGGGCATGTGCCACCACTTCCAACTGTTATTATTTACTGATCCTTGCCTCCCACCCCCTAAAAAAAGTATGCCTTATTTCAGTTAGTGTTGTCAGATGTAATATTTTAATCGAAGGAAGTTACTCAGAGGAAAATAACATATGGTCTTCTTTACTTTTTAATTGTTTCAGAAAATTGCCTTCAGCTTTTTTTAATTATTAGAAATTTATCCATAATAGTTGGGTGCATCCTGACAATTCACACATGCATTGAAATTGATTTCAGTTCATGATTCCCCCGCTTTCCCTCCCCTGTTTCCCTCCTGTCTTCCCTCCCCTCTCCCATTCTTCTTCCTCTACTCTACTAGACTTCCTTTTGCTCATCTATTAATTTGTATTTGATTGGTTCTTTATGTAATCTTTATTCTTCCCTCCCCCTTTCCTTATTTCACTCTAGCTGCTGCATGTAAAAGAAAACATTCTAATTTCTCAGTTTGACTAATTTCACTTAGCATAAAATCCATTCTCCATTTCCATCTATCTACCGGCAAATGCCATAATTTCATTCTTTCTTATGGCTGAGTAAAACTCCATTGTCTGTGTGTGTGTGTGTGTGTATGTATCACAGTTTCTCAATCCATTCATCTATTGACAGGCATCTAGGTTGATTTCATAATTTAGCTATTGTGAACTGTGCTGCTACAAATATTAATGTGGCTGTGTCCCTATAGAATGCTGATTTTAAGTTTTTTGGATATATGCCACGGAGTGAGATAGCTGGGTCATATGGTGGTGCCATTCCTAGTTATTTTTTTTTAATATTTTTTACATGTACTTTTAGTTGTTCATGGACCTTTATTTTATGAATTTATTTCCATGTGGTGCTGAGAATAGAAGTCAGTGCCTCACACATGCTAGGCAAGCTCTCTACCACTGAGCCCCAGTCCCAGCCCCCATTCCTAGTTTTTTGAGGAATCTCCATACCACCTTCCAGAGTGGTTGTACTAGTCTTCGGTCCCAACAAAAATGTATGAGTGTTCCTTTTCTCCCCCACAAATTGACTAGTATTTCTGTTGTCCTTTTCTTGATTGCCATCTGATAGGAATAAGATGAAATCTTAGGGTATTTAGATTTGCATTTCCCTGATTGCTAGAGAGGTTGGATATTTTTTCATATAATTGTTGACCATTTGTGTTTTTGTTTTTTTTTTTTGAAGGGTTTCTGCCTAGGTTTTTTTTTTTTTTGCCCAGTTATTGGTTGTGTTATTTATTTATTTATTTATTTTGGTGTTAAATGTTTTGAGTTCTTTATATATTCTGGATATTAATCCCCTTTTGGAGGAGTAATTGGCTAAGATTTTTTTCCCATTCTGTAGGCTCTCTCTTCATGCTCTTAATTACTTCCTTTGTTGTGCAGAAGCTTTTTAGTTTGATGGCATCCCATTATTGATGATTGGTTTTATTTCTTACACTTTAGGGGTCTTGTTAAGGAAGTCAGTATCAGTACTTATATGATGCAGTGTTGACCTTATGTTGTCTTCTACTAGTTGTGCAGTTTCTGCTCTCTTTCCTAAGTCTTTGATCCATTTCAATTTGAGTTTTTTGCAGGATGAAAGAGAGGGATCTAAATTCATTTTTCTATGTATGTCTATTGAGTTTTCCTAGCACCATTTGTTTAAAAGGCTGTCTTTTCTCCAAGATATATTTTACCTTCCACTTTTCTAAACCAAGGTATTGATGACCCTGACTGAGAATGATACTGGTCTTCATAAAACTAACTGTCCTGTTTTGATTTACAGGATCTCCAAAGGTGGGTAAATGGTGCTAATGAACATGGCTTTGTCCTGGTGTCTTTTGGAGCTGGTGTCAAGTATTTGTCAGAAGACATTGCTAACAAACTGGCAGGAGCTCTGGGAAGATTACCTCAAAAAGTGATTTGGAGGTAAGGTAATGATTCATATTCTTTCTTTGCTGTTGATTTTCAGTACCCACTTATTTGGCCTGCAGGTCCCATAAAACACATCACATTTGATTCACTGGCAAGATTAGTAGAAAGCCCCTGAGTTTTCATTTTGTTTCTTGGTTATTGAAATTTAAGAATTAATTCATAAGACTATTATAGACAAAGAGACCTCTGATCTATAATGTTTTTACCCTATATGATTTGGAATGATTTATGGAGGGTTAATTTGTATGTTTCCCTTAGATTTCTACCCTTGATTACTCTTCTATGATATTTTAAAATTTAGTCATATATTGCCTGTATGTACTCCTTCAAATCAGTTTTGAAATGAGGCAGAAAAGGATGATTGAATAAATAGATAAAATATTTCAAGGACTTTTGAACTTCTTTGGGCTCCCACTTTATAGATGTTTTTGATTTCTTAATCCAAGAGACCAGGCCTCTAAAACTCAGGAACTTACTAGTTAACACTGGTTAAGAAAGAACTGTAAACCATCACATGCCTGTAATCCAGTAGATTGGGAGGCTGAGGCAGGAGGATCACAAACCAAAAACCAGCCTCAGCAACTTAGTGAGATCCTGTCTCTAAATAAAATTTTTAAAATGGGCTAGGGATATGGTTCAGTGTTTAAGTGTCCTTGGGTTCAATCTTCAGTACAAAAAATAAAAAAAAAAATAAAAAAGGTAGACCCCCTAGATCAACTCCAGCTTCTTGTGCAGACCCTGATAACAGGTATCTGTCTCTGGAATTCCCAACCTAATGTTTACAAATCAGACTTGAACACTTTATTTGTCACATATTTATTTAGGATGTGCCACTGCTGTGGGGTTATAGAGATATAGTAATGAACATGGTCAATCCCAGGGTTTCTACCACAATTAGAAGAAAGTGTCTCAAGTCATTCCAAGTACTCTGAGTCATGTAGGTTTCTCCTTTGATTGATAATTACCATGTAGGAATGACTTCCAGCTTCTCCTGGCTGAGCTATGAGATGGACACATGTTGTATTCTAACTATTCAGAACTTTTCCTTTCAGATTCCAGTACCATTATTTATTCTATTAGTTTTCACCCAGAAAACTTGCCGCTTCTTTATTTAGGATAGTTTTACCTGTTCTTTTCAGACTCTTGTCTTTTTTCTGGTTGTTAAGCACCTTTATGATTTATCTTTTAAAAATCAGATTGGGAACAGCCTACTAAAATCCTTTGGTCTCCAGACCTCCTTTCCCTGGGGCTCTGTATGCTTTCTTCCAGTTCCTGCCCCTTTCTCCTTGGGCTCAGGGTGTCCACGATGAGGGCTGGTGACTGCCCCTGGTGACTCTTCCTATTTTCAGCTTCTGAGTACTAACTAGTGTGGAATGACTTCTAGCAAAGGATCATTTGGTTGGTTTTCCCGCATCTCTATGCATAGGTGAGAAAAGCCAGTGGAAAATAGATCTTTATAGAAGCAAATTATTTCTTACCTGTCCCTCAATCAGTGAAAGATGTTTGGTTAAAAAGAAAATCAATTTTTGTTGATGCTGATGGATGATTTCATTTCTTAAAAATATCAACAAATAATCATGAAACATTTACTTTAAAGTTTAACCAGAGACACTGTACCATGAGTAAGGTTTGATTTTTGAGAGATTCATTGTCTGGTATGCATTTTAGGTTTTCTGGAACCAAACCAAAGAATCTAGGAAACAACACAAAACTAATAGAGTGGTTACCGCAAAACGACCTGCTTGGTGAGTGACATGTGGGTACTTACTTGGATGTTAAGAGTTTAATTTTTATGCTTAAGCAATTTGTAAAATACACGTATAGTTTATGATGAAGTCATTATGTTTTATCTAGTCTCTCAATTCTTAAATTTCAGACCAACATTTCAAACCTTTATTGGAAAATGATATGTGAAATGTAATCACTATGGTCTTTAATTTAAAATTTTAGACCAGTCATCAATTTTAATTATCTGGAAAATATACTTAATAAGCTACATAAATTACCAGTGATGAAGCTATACCTGATTTGGATAGCCAGATAAAAGTAGTAAAATTAAACTAAAGAAAATAATACAAACTGGTGTTACAGTTTTATTATAGATGTCTCTGATAATCCAGAGAAATTAGAAATTATTCATTTGTATGAAACCAAAAAGAAGCAGAAAGCTAGAGAAATAGATTTGTTTTAATTTCAGTATCGGGTCATCAGTCTGAATTTCTTCATAAATCAGTAGGCATTTTTGAAACACTTTATTTTTAAGTGTTTTTATTGGTGCATTATAGTTGTACATAATAGTGGAGATTAATTGTGACATATTTGTACATGCATACAACACAGTTTGCTTAATTTATTTCCCTACTACTCACCCTTTCCCTCATCTCCTCTCTCCCCCAATCCCCTTCCAATATTCTACTAGTTTCCTTTCCATTTATTTATTTATTTTTAATGGGCATAGTCATAAATGAAAGTGGGATTCATTGTAAAACACTTTGTTTTTTTTTGTTTTATTTATTTCTTGGGCTTCTGATCCTCAACTCAAAATTAAAATATAATAATTTTATTCATATCTTTGAGGTATATTTGAATCTAAATAATTTAATTCTATGTTTAATAAGCACAGATAGTAAAAGTGTTATTAAGTTTTTAGGAAAATATAATATTATATTAAGGCTTAATATATATAAAGGAAATCATAAAGAAAAAAGTTATTAGAGTTCACAATATTAGCCACAATTTACTTAAGAATGGTAACACCTAACATTATATAAAGTGACTTTAATTTTAAATTATACTCTTAAAAATAAGCTTTTAATACACGATTTCTAAAAGGTACACAGTGATCCTCCTAAAAACCAGCAATATGAATTTGTAACTATTAAAAGTAAAGAGTTTTATACATATAGTTCTTTTTATCTACTTCATTGTAAATATTCTGTAAATGATAAAACCGAGGAGACACAAACATAAGACATTTTTTCTTGTGAGAAATGCTTGCATTTTTTCCTTCTTTTTACTTTTTTGTCTACTACTGTGACCTCAAATTCCATAGAAAGCCGGAAAGTTAAATAACTTGACAATCAGCTGTCTCAGAGCAAGTGTGACACTATTATCCAGCAACATCTAAACTTCTTTCACCGTGTGACCTACAGCAAGGTGTAACTATTCAATGGTCCAGGCCCGGAGGCCTCCCGGTGTCCATGTCTTCTCTGGTCCTCCAGTCAGCTCCCTGACTTCTCTAAGATAAATGCCCTTTTTCACTCTAGGCATGATCTTTGCATGTTTTTTGATGGTTTCCAACTATGATCAGAAGATTCTTCCAGAGTGAGAAGTAGGAACCAAATCAGTATCTTTCCCCTCCTGTTAACCTCTTAATATCCCCCTCCTTTCTGCCCACCAGCTCTGCTTTATTTTGTACTGCTGGGTTTGGTGGTATGGTTTTGTTCAGAGATAGGGTTCTGCTGCTAAAAAGAAAGTTTGAAAACCACTTTTGTGGATTTCTGTGGATTTCCTTTACTTGAGCCTAAAAGTATGAGAAGCCATTTTTGCAAGTAAGGGATAGAGACACTGCCTGACCAAACTCTGTTTGACTTTGGGCAGGAATGTTCTGGGAGCCCATTAAGGCTGAGATGCACACACACAGTCTACTTTGAATGCTGTGTGTATATCTAAAATATATTTCTGCATGCTGCAATTCTTTTTTTTTACCAAAAACAGATTTCCTAAGTGTGGAGTTTATTTTTTAAAAAATTCTTTTGAAAGTTTTTGATCCCTTTTATGACACGTAGGCTATTTACTACATGAGGACAAATGTCACTAAAGTTTTGAGAAGTCATCTCTTTTATTCCCAAGACAACTAGATGTTACATGATGATGTTGCGTCTCTTAGTACTGATTTTGTACAAATATCCTCCTCTGCTTGGTTCAGTTTTACACTTTAGGTATATAAACAAGTACTATAAAACATGGATTCTGGGAGAACTTGAGTGTTGTAAATGGTGATTATTGTACAGTGTTCTTTCATAGATAAGCACTAAATAGTTAATTGACTTCTGGAATCCAGACTTACATTTTTTTTTAAACAAGTGTGTTTGACTCTAATATAGATAAATGCTTGAGTAGCCAGAAAGGAAATCCCTATTTTTAGTAGAATGTGGTCGTACCTTGATAACATTTGGCATTTCTGCTTTCATTGGCTTCCTATTCTTTCTTGGCCATTGAAATTTGTGTTGCTAGGCACATGTTGTCAGTGTTTGAAAGTTGTAATGTATTTTAATGCTTGAAGATATACATTTCAGTTACCTAAAAATGGCTTTTGATTGATGTATACAAACCAGGTAATTTTGTTAAGAGCAAACGTTTTCATTGCTAAAGACAGGAATCAGTTAAATTATGCCTTTGAAAATCTTGTATCTTAAATGTATATTTACTGTAGTATTGCTATTTAAGAAATTTCTGGAAACATCTAGAGAGATAATGTAAGTTGTTTTTTTTTTAAAATTCTTTAGGGCATTCAAATATTAAAGCCTTCCTGAGCCATGGTGGTTTGAACAGTATTTTTGAAACTATGTATCATGGTGTGCCTGTAGTGGGCATCCCACTTTTTGGAGACCATTATGACACTATGACCCGGGTACAGGCAAAAGGCATGGGAATATTGCTAGAGTGGAAGACAGTAACTGAAGGAGAGCTTTATGAAGCATTGGTGAAAGTTATCAATAACCCCAGGTAAGGTTTCAATTAATATTAAAGTAGATTTCTCACACACACACACACACACCCACCCCATAATACATTGTCAGAGAGATTACAATGGGAACAATCACTGGGGCCCGACAGTGTGTCAAATGTTGTGTCTTTTATTTCAGTGTGAAGCTTATAATCCTAAATATATCATAGTTTTCATCATCTACGTGGTAGAAATGAGGCACTTGAAACTCAGAGAGCTTCAGTCATTGCCCGGTCACACAGCTATTAGAGTAGAAATTTGAAGCCAGGACTGTTGGATTCTGAGGCCAGAGCTTTTTGTAACTACAACATCAGCCTGCTGCTGCTGGCTTTCCGTAGTACTAGATATTGTTGAAATGCTCAGGTTTATTTACTTTGTAAATGATGAATCACAATTTTTTTTCTTTTTTAAATTTTCATTGTGCCCTGAGTTTTGCAAATGAGTCTCAGAGGGTGGAGAATGGCCTGTGTAGTTTGAAAACAAAGGAGCAGTTTTCCCCATTGTAATGATATTGAATTTATCATGTATTTCAAATAACATTAGACTTGAAGAGTGTAACTTTTTCTGTTCATAACCAGGGCTTAACTTTGAGATGAGAAACTTTGCCATATTCTAAGGAATACCAACTGTAAGAAGTATTACTCCATATAAAGTGATACAGCTTGCATAGAAAATTCTGGATTTGACTGAGATTCATTTTGTAGCCTTCGTGTGGGCTCAGAGGTGTCCCTTAGGCTCTGACCCCTTAAAATACCCAGTGTCTTAATCACTGCTCTGACACTTGAGCAGTATGTTTTATGATCCAGAGTATATTCATCTTCTATAACCTGTACTTCTCTTCTTATGATCTAATGAATTTCAAAACATAATGTTCTTATGGAAAAAATTTGTCTATATTCTATGTAAATTTTTAAATGAAGCCCAAAAGTTAAGAGTGTTTTGGATGGGGCAATTATTACTGATACTAGATTATAAAGAGAAGAGCAAAAAGTTCAGTAATTTAGAATAGTTCAGTGGGTTGTTTTGTTTTGTTTTGTTTGTTTTGTTAAGAGTTTTGTGTGGCTCTACCACTAAGCTATAACCCCAGCTCAGTCCTTCTGTGTTCTGTGAGGTATTAGCCAGGATGAATCACAGGGAAAGCTGGATTTAATCTCAGGTAACATTAAAATTAAACAATAGTTACAAAATATCAAAGTATGCATAGAAGCTCAATTTTAGAATTTTAAATTTTGTATAGTGAATACATTTATATCATTCTAAGAAAAGTATGCACATTAATAAATAATGAGTTAATTGCATATAACTTGAAGTTTTTAAATATTTAGCTGAAATATTTTGAACATATCTTACTGTATAAAATAACAATAATTTATAAAGTATTTTTCTTTGCTAAAATTCATTATATAAACTGAATTCATTATCTTTCTTGTTTTCAAATACATGACCATGTACCACATTTAATGTGCAATAATTATTGAGAGGTCTTCACCAATATCATATCCAAGATATTCTACTTTAAACCAAGTAACCAATATTGCTGAAGAAGTATTTCTTATTTCTTTTACTTATAATTAAGTGATATTATAGCATATCATATTTAAATTACATTATATATTTTACTTCTTCCCTAACTAGTCTTTAGGGTTTATTTAATGAACTCATTGCTTCTCTTGTTTTGAGGGATTTTTGTTTGTTTGTTTTGAATCTGGTGATTTTATTATTTTAAGGCAAGTTATAAAGAAAGGTGGGAGTTAATCACTATTAAAATTGCATCTTTAATCTGTGGCCATCTTTTAACGGAAGACATACTTTGTAAAGTAATGAGCTGTAATTACAAGGTAATTCCTTTTTCCCAAAGGGCCTTATTGAAGATATTCCTTGGAATAGTTCAATGCTGGCTTGAATGACCATTTTAATCACAGTATTTGCTTTTTTTGTTTGTTTGTTTTAATTTTGCAATCTTCATATTCTTATTGGAATACATTTTTGAATTTTTTTCATATTAAGCTACATATTTTGTCATTCTGATTACTGTTAAGCAAGTCTAACTCAACTGAACATCCCTAGTACTAGATGCCTTTTCCAAATGACTTTGGCTATATTCTTGCCTCCCACCATTATGATTTAGTTCATACTCTTCTCTTGACCTATCAGGTCTTCATGTATGTACAAATTTTTGTTTCTCTGTAAAGCACAATTTGAACCATATCCTCTATTATATATATTCTTAATCTCTCTAGGCAGAATTTTTATTTCTTATGTCAAAACAATATCAACTTCAATCAGGGATCCATATACAAAGGGACTCTGGTCATTTGTCATTGATTGTCACTATTTATTTACATATTTTTAAGTTAAAATAAAATGCACTTTATTGTGTTCAGATATTTTTAAATTAGAATGAAATGCATTTTATTGCAGTTACATATTTTTAAATTAATATAAAATATATTTATATTTACCATTGTAGCTTGTTTTTAAAATTAACTCTTTGAGAGTGCTTTCTTTAAACATACATACATGCTCACATATATTCACACATATACTACATATAATGTCATATGTGACTTTGTAATTAGTAGTATTTTTCAACCTTTTTATATGTTTAAGAATATTCTTATAGTATCATTCAGTATTGCTTTAAATACAAAAAGAAAGTCATTGCTTAAAAATTGATTCTGCATTTTTTTTCTGTCCTTTACTTTTAGAATCTAGTAAATACTGCCCTTGCTGGTTCAGACCCACTGATTGATTAGTAGTAATTAAAAGCCTCTAGTGTGGAAAGAGCATAGGGTTTGGAGTCCGGAAAACTTGAACTAGAATCTCAAGTTCTATTCAGGTTACTTTCTGTGTGGTTTTCATTTGCCTCACCAGTTTAAATGTATTTTATTGGGTTAGCATAAGATAATGTGTTTAAAATATTTTTTCAGTGCCTGGAGCATATGAAGTACCCACTGAAGGATAGTAATTTTATTATTTCCCCCATTTTTAAATTGAGAGATCCATAAATACAGAACCTTCAATATGCGTAATTGTTCTGCATTTTGAACCCACTCCACAGCTACCGTCGGAGAGCTCAGAAGCTTTCAGAAATTCACAAGGATCAACCTGGTCACCCTGTCAATCGGACTGTCTACTGGATAGATTACATTCTTCGTCACAATGGAGCCCATCACCTACGTGCCGCTGTCCATCAAATTTCTTTCTGTCAGTATTTTTTACTGGATATTGCCTGTGTGCTTTTGCTTGGTGCTGCCTTGTTTTACTTCCTCTTGTCCTGGGTGACCAAATTTACCTACAGAAAAATCACCAGTCTGTGGCCTAAAAACAAGCATAGCACTGTTAATGGACATTACCACAATGGACTCCTCAATGGCAAATACAAAAGAAATGGTCATATTAAACATGAAAAGAAGGTGAAATGAGCCAGCAGCCCAGGTGATGAAAATAAATCTGTTCAGTCATTGAATTTTTATTGCTAGAAATTAGTTTAACAGCTACTAAAAGTAAAATGTCAGCAAACAATTCTAACACTTCCTTATCAGATCTTACTAATGAATTTCTGTGGAATTAAGATGGCTGTACAAAGCACAAACCTAAAAATGCGAAAATGTATTTGGTTCAAATACTGATGCAGAAAGTTTTGGCACTGAACCTTTTAGAAGCCTTAATTATTTAAATTAATTAAGTGACTGTATCAGACCTTAGTTTTAAATGTTGATATGTGTGTGTCACAGATAAAGAATGGTTTCTTTTCTCTTACTAAGAGGGGTGTGTGTGTGTATGTATGTCTGTGTGTGTGTGTATGTGTGTGTGTATGTATGTCCGTGTCCTAATTCAGAGAATTTTATCTGGCTGCTTGCTACATTTGTTGAGGGTACAACACATTCATGAATGAAGTAATAAGACAGTCAGGATCCAGATGTCTCTCTTGTAGCTTTTCCTGTAGCATTAACGTGTGAACTCAGAACACTACATCAGAGAACACTCCATCAGAGAACACTCAAAACTGAATACAGAGGAAGTAAATGAAAAGATAAATGGCACAGTTTTTTGTCCTTTTTGTTTACTTGTTTTGTTTTCCTTTTGTTACCAACTATGGACACTTCTGGGGGGAAACGTGTAATTAAAAATGTATAAATTAGTTGTCACATTTTCCCCCTACTAATAATTTTCCTCTGGAAGAATTTTATTATTTTTTCCTATTTTTATTTTAACAAGTAACATTTTGTTCAATGCATAATGAAGACAAAGCAGCAAACTCTGACTTTTGTTCAGAATACTAGAGATTATTGCTTATATGGGGCATTTTAAAATAAGGCCATTGCTTGAATGTTTATGTGACTGATGGCTTTTCTGTGATATAACATCATCTTTATCTCTTTTATTTTCTGGGCCACACTCTATTGTACATAGGTGCCAACAGTTATTTCTTTCAAACAGAACATTAAATGGTTCTCATTATTGGTACCTGCTTTGTCTGCAGAAGTTGTAGAATTTGCTGGTATACAGAGGTGACAGAAATAGAGCCACTTGTTTGTAAAGATAAGTTCTTCTTTCCCTCCTTGGTCCTTCAGCCTCACTTCGGCAGCCTTTTTCCAGTCATTGTGACTGACATGGAATAGTGACAGTATTCATGTAGAACAGGGATGCAAGTCACAGACATCATAAAACCAGGACCTCCCTGCTGGACCATTTACTATTATTTTTTCCATGTCATTCTGTTTACTTAGTATTTGCACTACACCTGTTGAGTGTATGCTTTATTTATTTGTAGTTTGAAATCCTATGACTGACATCTGAAAAATGCAACATTTACCTAATGTCATTCACTAATAGAAGAGTTATGAAAATTCTAGAATGCTGTAAATCCTTGTCATACACTATGACATACAACTTCATTACACTCCCACCAGGAGCCACTTTCCTGTACTTAGAAATAATGTCACAAGTAGTTTTCTAATGTACAATACAGACAAACGTACTGCTCTCTGAATACTTGAAGAAATGGTATTACACATATAAGCCTATTATACTTTTTCACAATCTTATAATAATGTTGCCGTTAAAAGGGACAAAAGAATACACAGGCAATGAATGGTGGGATGGTAACAGGGCTTAGAGTGTATGAATGAGTTGATTTTACTTTCTTGGAATTTGATGAAGTTAATAGGCACTGACTGGATGATTATAACTTAATCTCCACTGTGATAAAAACTTAAATAATAAACATGATTTAAAATAGAGAAATGTTGTTGGAATAAAATTTTTATTCAGATTTTATTTCACAATATTATGTACATTCATTATAAACATGTTTCTAAGACAGGTCTCCCAATTTTTGTATGTGTATTCGGGTGTGAAAACAATGTATTAAATGTGAGAATGTATTTTTATTAAACAGAGGGATTTACCTGACAAGTACATCAACATGGATATTAAAATTCTATTCCAGATTTAAGAATGTTAAGTGTAGGTATTTACTGATCATTGTTATTTTTATTTTTTCTTAGGAAGCTTATTGTTAGACAGTTTTCATAGAGAGAGTGATTTTAAATTTTCCACACTTGGGTTAAATTCTCTAATAAAGTAAAATTTTCAAGAAGGGATTTATTCATTTATTTTTTAGAAAGATTTTTTGCAGCTTTTTAAATATCTCTATAGCTGACTATGATGTTCAAAACAAATGAGAATTAAGACACTTTGCCTCTAGAACGTAACTTCTAGTATTCCACCACATAAGCACAGGGGTAGGAAAAAGCTAATGTTTGGGTTAAAGCATTGATTTATGATTGAGGTTGGAGAAAGCTAGAAACTCTCCAAAACTCAGCTACTTACCAAATCCCAAAATACAACTAAAATTCTATGTCTTCACTCTGAAGAGAAAATGTTTCAAAACGACCCAAGTAATTTGAAGAATGACTTCAAGTGATAATCCAGTGATCTCTTTTATTGAAAAAAAGTACAATTAATTCATTTTTATTCTTGCTACTAAGTAATTCAGCTAGTTTGTAAATGTAAAATCACATTTGAGAATGTCTGTTTCCTTTTGGTATAATCAAAAACAACTTGAAATGGAGAATTTTTAAATCTTATATAATGAAGTTTGAGAATCATAGGAATTCTGTTGTTGAAACCTCTCTAAATGTGTCAGAGAACATCTTGTCCTACTTCTGAGATGGTAAGAGTTTTAACTAGCTTTTAAAGACATATATTTCATGCAAAAAAAATGCTATTCATATTTTTGGCAGATAGCAAAATAATTTTTCTGACAAATTTTAATAAAACGTGCTTAGAAGTTCACACAATTAAAATACTCATGTTTTCATTTTCCTACAAATCCTGCAAAGCGTCACAGGTCCCAAATCACTTGGGTGTTTGTATTCCTGAATTAGGGGTGATTATAGCAGGGGATGAGTGACATAAATAATGATAATCTTAGTTTTTAAAATAGGGAAACCAAGAGGCATGCAATAATTGTATCATTCCTACTCTTTCTTTGGGGTAATTCAGACATAATTTAAGAGATAATTCTCATAATAATCTGCAAAATCTCTGACACTCTGCATAGGTGGTGTGGTAAATCCAGATTTTTTTCAATAGAGTATAATCAGAATTCAGAGTGAAAAATCTGAACTCCATGTAAAATTATACTGTTATTTCAAATATGATGGCTAAAATGTCTGTCTATAAAAGAAGTCCAACACCAACATTAATCTCAGGTATTACAATATCTCAGGTATTACAAAGTGCTTTTATGTATTAACCAGTAAAACATGAATTTCTCACTGAATTTTATAGAATTAAAAGTATTATATTCCTATGTTACTTCCCACAGTTAATTTAAGCTTTTTCAGTAATCCTATCTTGTGTAATAAGTGATAATTCCCTACTTCAGAGAGAGGGACTAATTTGAGTTTCATTGAATCTATAGAGTCATCCATACTTCAAGAGATCATTTCTCCTAAAATCAGATTCCTTAGTCCTAATGTTCAAGATGAGATTTCCATTTAGATCGAAATTAAATAAAAAAAAAACAAGCAACCAAGAAAAGTTTTGTTATCAATATACTTCATTCACATAGATTTAATTTTTAAAATGAGAGATCTGTTACTCTTGTACTTAGAACAGAACTGCATTAAAGTATAATATGTTGAAAAGGTGAATTTCATATGTTCATGACAATTCTGGTTTAGTCACCCTGTTAGAACTCTGAAGGAGATTCATGAATATTCTTTACTTGGAGCTGAAAATGGAAACTTTTGAATATACATACGTTGGTAAATTTCATGTAACATTAAATTTCACATTAGCAATGATATGTGTGTGTGTGCTGTGATATCTTGGAGTGGCCTATGCATTTTATTCACAAACCACAGGAACTGGTGATGAATAGCTTAAAAATCATCAGTTCTGCTTTCAAGCCCAAGTCTGCCTTCTGGTTATAGCATAGATTCAACTTATGAATGTGACAGGGCATCAATGCTTAAAAATACCAACATTAGCAATTAGTTAAGTTTCATCAGAAAAAGCAAATGCTGCTGGGCATAGTGGCACACACCTGTAATTCCTGCACAGGAGACTGAGCACAAGTTCAAAGCCAGCCTCAGCAGTTTAGCAAGGCCCTAAGCAACTTGGTGAGACCCTGTCTCAAAATCTAAAAATGGGTGGGCATGTGGCTATGTGGTTAAGCGCTCCTGGGTTCGATCCCCAATAACAAAAAGGAAAAAGAAAAAAAAATGCTAATGATATTTATATCAATGGGATAAAATATATATCAATAGAATTTTATATATATTTATGTGTATGTAGTATTTTTAGAAATTATTTTAAAAGTTCAAACTAAAAATATTGTTTTTTTTCTTGAAGACTGGAAGTAATATGGAATTTTTAAAGACTTTCACATAATAAAAGCTGTCTATTTTAAACTGAAGAAAGTTCAAAAGAACTAACAAGTTTTAGAAACTTGGTCAGAAGTACCTTTCCTAATACATCTTGCCAAAATGAGATAATATAGAAAGAACATGATATAAAATAAACTTAATCCACTGCATTGAATGTATTCTTCCTTCTTGTACTTGCATCTTCTTTTTTATTCTAGAATAAAAACATTTTTAGGTTTAGAAATTTAAACTACATGTAAATTCTAGGTATAAATAACATTTCTCATAATCAATTCAGTTAATAATGACAGTTTCTGTTTCGGGGGTCTCAAAAGGATGAAGACAATGGAGAAATTCACTCAAGTCCCTCTGCTTTTCTGCACCACCTGTTCTCTCATCCATGGTCCTGCTTCCAAGCTTTCTCTTATCTTTGTTAGGCATTTACTAAATTGGACTCCCATTTCCTATTTATTTTGCGTAGATTGTGCCTATTTAGTAATGCATTTTGTTATTAACAGAATGTGGAAACCACTGGAGTGCAAGTATCCAAAAGTACAGAATGCTAAACTGAGAACATGTCCTGCGTATTTTTTGTTTGTTTGTTTGTTTGTTTGTTTTGTTTTTAAAACCTGTTATCTGTGCCAATTGAATATCACGTAGGTTGTAAGGTTCGTTGAAAATAATGAATGTGCAGACCGTGCTTCTAGTGGGTATTGAAAGAGCCCTACCAGTGAGTGCTCATTTTTTTCCCTTGGGGCACTTGCTGTGTGACTCTCTGGATATGGCACTGGGTGAATTTTCTGGGGCATAGCTCAGTGATCTCTAAACTGTCATGCCACATGTACCTCTTTTTACCTCCCACTGGTCAATTAAAATTCTTATACAGCCCACTTGTACCAGGAAAAACTCTGCCTATCCACAGTGAATGCCTGCCTCATACATTGTTGATGTTACTAACAGGATCCTTTAGCATGTGTTAAATGTGTAAGTCATTGATTCTGTTACTCCAGTTATTTAGCATAGTTCATATTCCCAATGTTGACAGAACATGCTGGAAATGTGGACAGCTGCTTAATAGAGTCAAAGAAAAGTCCCAGATGGACAGGTGGTAGGCATTCAAAAACATCTCAACCTAGGATGGCAGCAGAATCATCTTCCATGTAGCAGTAGAAAGGTGTAAGAAATACAGGGTCTGCCTGGGAAGGAGGCAGAGATAAGATGTTTAGATCAAAATTCACCTCAGAATGCCTCTGATATATCTTAGGAAGGAGCAATATCAAGCAGAGACCTTTAAAGATCTTGAATGTAGTATCCAGAGCAGTCATTGGCAAATGTAAGACATTGGCAGTGTCCAGGCATGTATAGGCATATGGGCCCTATTACATAGTGGATGTTCTGGTGATGCGCTTTTCAGTATACATGGATGCAATCCCTGAGAATGTAGTTACACCAGTGGAGGGGTAGGTAAAGTCACATCTGCCAAAATAGAAGTACTTAGCTCATCTTTGCTTGGGTTTCCTTAAGTCAGAGGGAAATAGTAGCAATTTAATACATTTTCATTGTTCTTTTTTCTTTTCTTTTTCTTTTTAATTTGAATTTGAGATAGGTTCTCACTAAATTGCTTAAGTCCTCACTAAGTTTCTGAGGCTGGCCTCAAACTTGCAATCCTTCTGAGTTGTTGGGATTACAGGTGTGTGCCACTGTGCCCAGCGTCATTCTCCAATTTTAAAGTAAATTAGCATTTGGCTACATGGAATTCTATTTTATGCCAAGTGTGTTCTGTTACTCTACCAGCTTTCAGATGCCAGCTCTAGTATTAGTCTGTCATTCCTCACATCACTGATTGAGAAACCACTCTTAGATATTTATGGGAAATGTTTTCAAATTATTCACATAACAGATTCTATGAAAACTAAATAGAAAAAAAACAATGAAGGGAACTGTTCAATTTCAAAGGGTATTTAAGATGTCTTGCAATGTATATTGCTTTAACTTCTTATTTCTGTGAAATAAATAGTAGCCTTCTAGTTCATTCTTATATTATCCCTTGATAATATTAAAGCTTTAATGTTACACTGTGTAAGAGTGTCATTTTGAAAGTCTTATAGCAAGTAGAAAGGAAGACTAAGTATATTTAAAGGGAAAATTTAAAACTGGGTTGTTGGGTTTTGGCTCTAACACAGAACATTGTTCTAGACCATACCCATGTTCCAGCCCTAGAACCCTCTTACCAGTCAGTCCAAATGCTCTTATTAGTTCAGCATAGGAGTACATCCGGTTGTGATCAGCATCAAACAGCTCCAATTGTTCTTGTTCTGGTGTCTCTTCTCCTAGAAGGCTCTTTATTTCATGGTATGTTAGATATCCATTTGCATTATTATCAGCACCATAGAAAAAGATTTGAAGATCTATGGAAATAAATGCTTTGCATATTTCAACTCAAATTTTGAAGGTGAACTCAAACATTTATACCCTTTATAACAGTACTTGGTTCTTACACGCTGTTCTTTCTGTTTCTCACATACTAGGTCATTTCCCTCCCACCTGGGCATTTGCTGGACAACTCTTTGCAGATTCAATTGTTCCTCTCCTCTTTTTAGTCTGTTGTGAATTATTTGATCATTTACTTCAGTAATTATCTTTCTGTTATCTGTATTCTCATGATGTTTTAATGTTAAACCATAAATAATATGTTTACCATTTTCTGTTTGCCTTATTTATTGATACAGGCATTTTAATGGAATGTTCTTCACTACACTGCAGTTTTTCATATTTTCATTTCTTTCTTTCCTAAGACTATTACAAAAACATTCACCTGGCTAAGTTTCAGTGGTCTTTTCATCCCAGTTCCTTGACTTATCTTGTTTATATTCACCATCTAGTTTTGTCTTTCTCACATTTCTTAATTTTACATAAAAAAATCCCTGCTCATTTTGCTATCAAGTATGTAACATGCATCTCTTATGCTCCTAAGCTGGATGCCACCTGTAAAATTTTATTTGAGCTCACACATAATCAAATCGTGTTTCTTCATTTATAACACAGGCAAATAATATTCCTTTGTCAGTATTCTTATTATCCTCTCTTCATCTCACTGCTGTAAGTACTGCCTTTATTAAAACACAAGCAAACATTGTTCGCTGGGGTTCTAAAGTGCCAGGCACTGTATGTGATACTGAGATGCAAGGATGAAGAAGCTACAGTTCCTGACTTCAAGGGAACAAAAACAGCCAATAAGCAATTTCAGTAAGCAATAGGATCTGTGTAGTAATACAGTATAGACAATGTGCCATTGAGACAAAAGGGAGGGGAGTTTTCATCTGGGGGTTGTTTTAGGTGAATCACAGAAAATGCATAGAAATTCAACAGACCAAGTAGATGGAGGTAATCTGGGGAAGGCGAACCCCCATGGCCAAAGGCATTGAGTTAAGGAAGAGTGTGGAACGTTAGAAACCTGCAAATGGTTTCGTCTGATGGGAGTGTACATGATGAGAAAGGGGACCACCAAACAAAGAAAAGAGCCTTTCCTTTTGACTCTGTAGTGTATCACTGGGAAGCACAACCTGTCTTTGCATTCAGTAACCTTCCAGGATACCTATTTATGTGCCTGTGTCCAGTGCCTTGTCATATGGCACATATCACTTAAAACTGTTGGTGTCAAGCTTCTTGTATTGCAGGTCATTTGACAGAATGTAAAAGTTTTTCATATGGATATATGATATATTGATAGATCTATAGATAAAATGGCAACACTCAATTATTCAATCCTCACTTGTTTCTTCCTACAATTTTTGGTTTTGCATTCATAGCCATCACTCTAGTTTTATTAATCTCCGTTTTTCAAAAGCACACATCCAAACACCAAACCCAGGTCAAGCATCAGATCAAATGCAGTTTGTAAAGCTTAAACTTGTACAAGGGAAAAGGTTAAACAAAACTTCATCATTGCTGAAGGAACAAGTATAATAAGTAATTGCAGCATTTGGCCATTAATTCAATAACTGACTCTCTTTTCAGATTCAATATTTTTGCCAAACTGCAAAAACACAGGCTGTAAAGTAATGAAATTAAGACAATCTGGAGCCCCTTCAGATACTTTCTACCTAACCCCCTTTATCTAAGTTAGGTTAGATTGTTCTAGCTCAGGTCATTTATATCCTTGGAGCTCATGGTAAGCAACATCCTCTCCTTGAGAATGAAGAAAAATAAAACTTTTTTTTTCTTTACCCTGACTCATTTTGAGAAGATAATGAAAGAAAGAAATTGAGGAAGACAATAAATAGCCTTCCTCCTTCCATTAGAAGGTGATGATGGTATCTAATTAATTGAAAACCTCAAGCATAGATACTGATCTTTAAAAATTATGTTTAGCTTCATATTAAGCCCATAGTTAATAGATGTGTTTAAAAATTTACATAAGTGCTAAAAAATATGAG